TATTTGGATTCGCAATTGAGACATACCAGTAAAACTCTTATTGTTTTTCTAAATCTGGCACCCCAATGTGGCCTTGGCAACTTCTGCTAACTGGCTATCGACAAAATATCTCCTGGATGTTATTTAAACACGACGCTCTTCCCCAGCACTCCCCTACCAGCTGTGTGCTGATAGGACTATGCGGCCAATTGATAAAACTTCCACCTCTCTTCTCAAGGACAATGGCACTTCTATCAGTGTTGACAGTCTAATTCTTGCAAACACACTCAGACTTACATTCGCACCCTCAAGATTCCACTGTACCCTTGCTAAATCTTTACTTATGTGTGTGTTGCTTATCCTGCTGAGGTTTTTTGTACTATTTCAGACTCTATTCTGGTAAGAATAGTCTGTAATATGATTTTTTTTTCCCCCTCCTATCTTACTTTACCTAAATGTGTGATTTCATTACTTTTCATAGATTTTCAGATTTCTCAGAAGGATTACCAGCAAAAGCCAATTATTAGTAGTATTTCAATACTTTTTCATTGATTTTTTGTTTTATCAGAAGGATTACCAGTGAAAACAACATATTATTAGTAATTTGGACTTTAGCTGCTCTTACGCCAATGACCCAGCTTTCTTAATTAGACTACAATGGACTGTTATTACTTAGTTCAACTTCAGTACCAGTAAAAGCAATATATTATTAGCACCTGAAAATGTGGATTAAAGCTGTTTTGTACCAGTGACTCAGCTTCCCTAGTTAGAATTCAGTGGAATGATGAGACTATCAATATTATCATCTTCTATCAGTGCACTTGGCACCAGGACACCCTAGGCAGGAGGTCGATGATCGACTTTGTTGTCGTGTTGTCAGACCTTCGGCCGCATGTTTTGGACACTCGGATGAAGAGAGGGGCTGAGCTGTACACTGATCACCACCTGGTGGTGAGTTGGATCCACTGGAAGAGGAGAAAGCCGGACAGCCGAAGCGCATAGTGAGGGTCTGCTGGGAACGTCTGGCAGAGCCCTCGGCCAGAGATGTATTCAAGTCCCACCTCCAGGAGAGCTTTGACCAGATTCCGGGGGATGTTGGAGACATAGAGTCTGAGTGGACCATGTTCTCTGCATCTATTGTCGATGCTGCTGCCCGTAGCTGCAGCCGTAAGGTCAGCGGTGCCTGTCGCGGCGGCAATCCCCGAACCTGGTGGTGGACACCGGCAGTAAGGGGCGCTGTCAAGCTGAAGAAGGAGTCCTATCGGCTGTGGTTGGCTTGTGGGACTCCTGAGGCAGCTGACGGGTACTGTGAGGCCAAGTATGCTGCAGCTGTGGCAGAGGCAAAAACTTGGGCCTGACAGGAGTTTGGTGAGGCCATGGAGAAGGACTACTGGTTGGCCTCGAAGCGATTCTGGCAAACCATCCGGCGCCTCAGGAGGGGGAAGCAGTGCTTCGCCAACACTGTTTACAGTGGGGGTGGGAGGCTGCTGACCTCGACTGGGGACGTTATCGGGCGGTGGAAGGAGTACTTCGAGGATCTCCTCAACCCTGCCATCAAGCATTCCCTGGTGGAAGCAGAGGCTGGGGACTCAGGGTTAGACTCTTTCAGGCTGAAGTCACAAAGGTGGTTACAAAGCTCTGCGGTGGCAGGGCTTCGGGGATGGATGAGATCCGCCCTGAGTACCTCAAGTCTCTGGATGTTGTGGGGCTGTCATGGTTGACACGGCGCTTCAACATAGCGTGGCAGTCAGGGACAGTGCCTCTGGACTGGCAGAATGGGGTGGTGTCCCCTTTCATAAGAAGGGTGACCGGAGGGTGTGTTCACACTACAGGGGAATCACACTCCTCACTCCACCACCAACCCTGGTAAGGCCTACACCAGGGTATTGGAGAATAAAGTCTGGCCGATAGTCGAACCTCGGCTTCAGGAGGAGCAGTGTGGTTTTCGTCCCGGCCGTGGAACACTGGACCAGCTCTATACCCTCTCCAGGGTACTCAAGGGTTCATGGGAGTTTGCCCAACCGGTCCACATGTGTTTTGTGGACATGGAGAAGGAATTCGACCGTGTCCCTCGTGGGCCCTGTGGGGGGGTTGCTCCAGGAGTATGGAATCGGGGGCCCTTTATCAGGGGCCATCCGGTCTCTGTACATGCAGAGCAGGAGTTTGGTCCGCATTGCCGGCACTAAGTCGGACCTGTTCCCGGTGCATGTTGGACTCCGGCAGAGCTGCCCTTTATCACCTGTCCTGTTCATAACTTTTATAGAAAGTATTTCTAGGTGCAGCTAAGGGCAGGAGGGGGTCTGATTTGGGGACCAGTGGATTTCGTCTCTTCTTTTTGCAGATGACGTGGTCCTGGTGGCCCCCTCTATCCAAGACCTGCAGCATACACTGGGCGGTTCGCAGCCGAGTGTGAGGCGGCTGGGATGAAGATCAGCTCCTCCAAGTCCGAGGCCATGGTTCTCGATCGGAAAAGGGTGGCTTGTCCTCTTCAGGTTGGAAGGGAATCCCTGTCTCAAGTGGAGGAGTTCAAGTATCTTGGGGTCTTATTCACGTGTGAGGGAAGAATGGAGGCAGAGATCGACAGACGGATCAGTGCGGCTGCTGCAGTAATGGGGTCTCTGTGCCGGTTCATTGTGGTGAAGAGAGAGCTGACCAGAAAAGTAAAGGTCTTGATTTACTGGTCTACGTTCCTACCCTCCCCTATGGCCATGATCTTTGGGTCATGACCGAAAGAACGAGATACAAGCGGCTGAAATGAGCTTCTTCCATAGGGTGGTTGGGTATTCCCTTAGAGATAGGGTGAGGAGCTCGGCCATCCGGGAGGAGCTCAGAGTAGAGCCGCTGCTCCTCCACATCGAGAGGAGCCAGTTGAGGTGGCTCAGGCATCTATACCGGATGCCTCCTGGAAGCCTTCCTCGGGAGGTGTTTGTTCCAGGCACGTCCCACCAGGAGGAGGCCCAGGGGATGGCCCAGGACACGCTGGAGGGACTATGTCTCTCGGCTGGCCTGGGAACGCCTTGTGCTCCCCCCAGAGGAGCTGGATGAGATGTCTGGGGAGAGGGACGTCTGGGTGTCTCTGCTGAGTCTAAAAGCGGAAGACAACGAGTACGAGTAATACGTATAATTACTGCAGAAATTGTTTAGCCAGACAGTAAGATTTTTCAAACATTCAGATATCGTCAACTGATACTTTTTGTTCAGAAAACCTTCTACTTTACTTATCTTCACACTTAACAGGACAATTGACCACTGCTTATATCATCCCCTTTGTTAGGAAGCACACTAACCAGTCATAAAGACACCAGACGTTTTCTGACTTTAAGTACAAAAATGTCAAAAAAAATTTTTTTAATTATAAGATGCATCCCAAACAGAGTTAAACATAAACAGACTTCAACTTAGGTAGGACCACAGGGAACTAAAGCACAAACTGACCTCACAAGCAAGACATGAGGGAAAATTAAGTAGTGGCTGATTAGACAACTGTTGACACATTAGTGTAAATGGAAATCTAGTGTCCAGCCATTTTATCAATATATGGACTTATTTTACAAAACACAGTAAATAAATCACAAGCATTAACATTCAGACACTTGTTTGATGTGTGTCACCCCCCACATCACACGGGTTTGAGTTATAGTATGGAAAATCACATGCATCTTATTATTCCTAATTAATTTATAGACCCTAGGAACCTTTACTGAGGATTAAGATCGAGGTAGGTTTTCCATGATCTACACAACCTTTTAGAGCAGAGCTGGACTTAGCAGTTTTAGAAACTGTTCTTCTGGTAGAAGGTTACCATCATGCAGCTACATTTTTACCACACATCTAAAACCCAAGGCCTCTCTATACATAAGCAGCACATTTCCAGGATCAGCTTAGCACATACACACACGATTGTACCACGTACACTTCCTCGCACTACCACAATCCTCACCAGAGGATCATGCCATTGTAGTGCATCGTTACTGCCTCAGGTATACCTACTCTGCACGTGCTTCCCCTTCTTGTGATTCACCCACGCATGACATAACCTGCCACAACTGTCACCATTCTCTGCTACGCTCTGTACAGGATCCTGAGATCACAATAACAAACCCCCAAGACGCTCTATCTATCACACATAGTAGGAAGCCCACTAGGTTATTAATACGCTTCAGCAGACTTTGCAAATGCCATCCATGTTTTAGCAAAACCAGTGTAATTATGACCAGGCATTTTAATTTAGTTTTGGTTCATGTCTTCTGACTAAAATGTTATTTACTTTTAGCAGCATTTTAATTATCTGTAGTCAATTTAGTTTCAAATTTAGTCGATGAAATCGTACATTTTAGTCGACTACATTTCCTCTAACTTTAATCGGCAAAAACATGGAATCCTAGAGGAATGCCAGTTTAGATCCCCTTGAAACGTCAAAGGAAAATACTTTCGTTACACTTATGGGAAATATTTATCTTAGAATGGAATGGATTTAGTTATAAATGACTAGTTTCATCTGTTCACTTCATTTAATATTAGATAAGATTAGATTTTATCTTTCTGCAAAAGTTTAGTCTTTTCCTAATTTGTTTTGAAAAAAACTTTCACACGTGGGGATGTGATCTTGGAAAAGGATAACAGACAAGGAGCAGGACAAAAAAAAATTTAAAACGAAATACACAACTGAAACTCTCACTCTCTTCTTGTGATAGAAACTGGCTAAGAAACTGTTCATGCCCTTGTTGCCAAGGTCTACCTGGCGATTATAGAAATTGGCACTGTCCTTGCCCTTAACAGCTGCTGTTTTTAAATGTCATTTGATCCATATTAGAAAATATGTCCCCACAATATTCCAAATGTTCTGCTTTTGAACTCATCCAAAATCTAGCTCTCTTAAAAGTGATATAATGTTGCCACAAGATCCTTGCTTCCTGTAAGAATCATACTTCCCAAACCTGGGTTTTTGCGATTTGAGAAGATAAGCCTCTATATATAGATCTTTAAAACTCTTTACAAAAGGCCAAAGAATCTGGGCTACACAGTGGTACAGTTGGTAGTACTGTTGCCTTTCAACAAGAAGACCCTGGGTTCAACTCCTAGCTGAGAGTTGTTCTGCATGGAGTTTGTTGTCAAAATAAGGTGAGATCTTTCCATGCAACATTTAGTAACTGCTCACAGTTAACTCCATAAAAGTTACAATAAATATCCTTATGTGTAATCCATGCAATAATTATTAAAACACACAGTTGAAGCAGTAGAGAGAGAAACAAGCATGTTCTCATATTCTGGACCTGAGAGACTGGAGAGGCCTGTGTGGAGCCACATATTATCTGCCACATGTTATCTGTCTTATCTTTTGCAAAAATATAAACAAGTATATCCAAAGAAATGATGTATGATGATTTTATATTCTTTCAC